AAGCTTTTAACACTTCTCATATTTTCTCTTTCTATGTTGCTGTAGGACAAACAACAAGCTTTTAGTCCAGGGGCCAATACTGATATTTTCACAAATGACTACCAATCAAGCTGACCAAACCATTTTTGCATTTTTGTCTTCCAACATGTCTCTAGATGAGATTTTGGTATGATAGCCTTGCTGATCTTGTATCTTATTAGAGTTCATCCCCTCTTAATTCTTATTCCCCATTATTTTATCCCCAGGTGAAAGCGTTAAAAACATTAATTAACAGATATCGCCATGAAAATTCCTCATTTGATTATTTACATAAAGCCTTTTTTTAATTACAAGCTTTCTGAAATTAAATGTTTAAATATGCAAGTGAGGCATTATCTACTAAAATAAGCACTAATTTGCATACATTTCCAGAACAGAAATCTGAACATTGGATAAAGCCAGGTTCAAAATTCTTCTTTAATTTTGTTGATATATTAGAGCCAAAGGTTTTTACTGAGTGAATTTTGGATATCTGTTTTTAGCACTCCATACATCAGAAAATACTGTCAAAAAAAAGCAATTTTTGACATGTTTTTAGGAATAAAATGTTCACTTCAGCAGCACTTAAACACACCAAACTTTCCAGTTTAATTCCCAACTATATTCCGATTTATTTTTATATAGCAGTTTGTTCATATATCATTCATAGCCTGATTTAAACATTTTATTCCATTTTTTTAATGTGTTGAGAGTATTTTCTGATGTATGGAGTGATAAAAAGAGATATCCAAAATTAATTAAGTAAAAAGCTTTGACTCTAATATGTCAGATAAATGAAATTACAAATTTGAACCTGGCTTTATCAAATGTTCACTTTTCTGTTCTGGAAATGTATGCAAATGCCTCATTTGCATGTTTAAAAAATTTGCAAATTGAAAACTTGTAATACAAAAAATGGCTGTCTTCATGTAAGTAATCAACTGAGGAAATTTCATGGTGATATTAATTACATTTCTTACTTTTTTCACCTGGGGATAAAATAATGGAGAATATATTCTCCATTATTTTATCCTCCATCATGCAATAAGTTTGCAGACTTCCTCGCTTTCTATCATGTATTTTCAACATAAAATGATCTGAGTATTAAATTGAAGGCTACATCGACAGCCCAATTATGAAAAAATTTGCAATAGCAAGCCAAACTCACACACACAGCTAACCTTACTAGCACACTGGAGCAGGCCAGCCATCGTGAGCAGCATAAAATTAAACTCTATTGTTACCATTTATGGTTATAAATACATTAACGTTAGTACAGGCACTTACCAAGGAAGGAATTTACTATCGGGCAGCGGCACCAATGGCTCAACAGTGGACAACAGTTCAACAGCAGACCTGTGCAAGACACGTTAACGACGGAACCTCTTCACCTTTTGTACTTGCAAAGTACTTGCGCATGGGCGTTACAGCAGTAAGTGTGTTTCATCTATTTACATAAATATTGAGAAATACCTACATTGTGGTGTTCTGGAGGCTTCCTATTGACAGCACATAGTCTATCTAGTTCCATATTTATGATATTTTATGAAACATTAAATACGTTTAAATTGCGTTTACGTCTAGACGATATTTTGCCTCGCTATTTTAGAGAAAAAACTTTATTATATTCAATAAAATCACTCTTTTGTGCTAGAACTGAACTGATTATCAATAGAAATTTTAAAAATATGTGTTTTGTGACATGATGTTGTAAACACTTTTTAAACGGTTGAAAAGTGGTTGAAAGACGTTCAAACCTAATATCAATCAGTTTTAAATTAGAAATCAACGTTGAAATCCCGGTTTGTGCTTGCTGGGTTTCCTAACAAATATTGTTCACAAATCTGTCTAAATCTGTGTTAGTGAGCACTTCTCCTTTGCCGAGATAATCCATCCCACCTCACAGGTGTGGCATATCAAGATGCTGATTAGACAGCATGAATATTGCACAGGTGTGCCTTAGGCTGGCCACAATAAAAGGCCACTCTGAAATGTGCAGTTTTGCTTTATTGGGGGGGTCAGAAAACCAGTCAGTATCTGGTGTGACCACCATTTGCCTCACACAGTGCAACACATCTCCTTCGCATAGAGTTGATCAGGTTGTTGATTGTGGCCTGTGGAATGTTGGTCCACTCCTCTTCAATGGCTGTGCAAAGTTGCTGGACATTGGCAGGGACTGGAACACGCTGTCGTATACGCCGATCCAGAGCATCCCAAACATGCTCAATGGGTGACATGTCCGGTCAGTATGCTGGCCATGCAGGAACTGGGATGTTTTCAGCTTCCGGGAATTGTGTCAGATCCTTGCAACATGAGGCCGTGCATTATCATGCTGCAACATGAGGTGATGGTCGTGGATAAATTATTAATAATTATTTGGTCAATCAGCCTATATATACATGGACTTGACTCATGGGGCTCGGTGGGGCACAGTCCCAAAGATCAACATGGAGTCACCATCCTGTGGGCTCACCAGTCGCAGAGATACGCTTCAGGGTCGGGTGCATTGTGAGCCGCAACATTGCCCCGGACAGTTGCATGATTGATTTTGAAGTTTGTGGTCAGTGTACGGAAACTGCTCAACTTCAGCAAACACTGAAATGAAGAGACTCGGGAGAACCACGGAGAAAAGTTACAGCCAGTGAGATTACTTTAATTACAACTCAACAATACAGGTCGTAGTCAACAGTGGACACAACAGAAACAGCCCCACTCATACAATTTCCAAAAACCTTTATACTATCTGAGTGAGTGGGCGTCTGTTCGTTTGTGTGCATGTGTGTGTGTGTGTGTGTGTGTGTGTGTGTGTGTGCGTCCATGTGCAGACGTGCCTGGTTCTGGGACCTAACCGTTCTGCCAAGTTTGATTTCCTGGAAATGATCGTACAAGAATTACTCAACATTACAAAAACAACTCCTTAAAAGGAGTCCTTCCTAGTAACTCCAAAGTACAACAACTTGACAGTATTCAAAAACAACTTCTTATAAGGAGTACTTCCTATTGCGAAATCTGACATCTGGTCAACTGTTTCTATGACCTTTTGCAACTGACATTATTTTCACATTTGATATAGAACAATACATTATCTGCCTCTACATAGTCCATCCTCTTTATGATTTTATCATAAATTATTCGCAGAGATAATGTATGGTAAATGAACGCCTATGTTTGTATGAGTAGGATATATGGCAATGTGGATACAACCAGTGTTCCTTACTAACATGAATATATGATCTTGTGTGAAACTCTTAAACTTGAATATGATAATGCATAAGAACACATACAATATGGTGACATACGAACTTGGCACGAGTATATGATATTACATGAAACACTGAAACATATTTTTAGCATCTGTCAACACTTCAACTGATGGAGGCGAAAAACTAGAGTTGTACCGATACCGATACCAGTATCGGAAATGCCTCCGATACTGCCTAAAATGCAGTATCGGGTGTCGGCGAGTACAGCCTATGACCAATCCGATACCACATAATGCCTCATGTCATTTCGCATACGCACACTACAGGAAAATGAAATGGAAACGGAGTGGAGTTTAAAAAGCATTCTACTGTCGTCTTTAAAATCATAATAATAAAAAAAGTTTTATGGCATTCATTCTACTATTATGTATTTATTTCTTAATATTTTACATAAAGGTTTAGGAGTTGAGACATTACGCGCTGGGATCGGATCGGTACTCGGTATCGGCAGATACCTAAGGTTCAGGGATCGGAATCAGTATCAGGAAGGAAAAAGTGGTATCGGTACATCTCTACGAAAAACCTGGCGGCTGTTGAATCCAGGAAAAGTCCCCCATCGGCCCCCTCCCGTTAGGCGGCCTAACAGATGAATTTTCAACAGATGGATCAAATACACCAGATAAAATGCAACTTACTTATTAGATTATAATGGAATCACAGAAATCATTTTGGATAATATGCATAACTTGCTAAGTCAAAATCAGAGTACATTTCCCTCTTGTAAAATCAAAACACAAAGATGAATACAGAAAAAATAAAAAAATGAATACAGAAAATGGTGTCAGAGTGGTGGAGTATATTGTTCACAGTCTCTTGTTTGTGATATCTAGTATGTGGTTGTGGTGTATATATTCCCCGTCCTCTCTTCCAGGAGAGAGTATCAGCCATTGTTCATCTCTCGCTCTCACTGTTCCTCCTTGTCATTTGAATAATAAATCTGGTATTTCCTCCCCCCTCTGCGCCAGAACTCTGCGCACCAATTGTTCAGGGATTAGCATACTTCGCATTTGTGCTCCTTGTATGCCCGTTACAAGGTTCAGCTTCTTGTCCATTGCTCTCTCACACCATTTCGTCAGGATAGGCACGATGCAACATGTCAATAAGGAAAACAGAATTAGTACTATCAGTACAATTATCCCTGTTGTAGCCAAAACGGCTCCCCATTTTCCAAAATTTCCTCTAACCCATCCCACTTGATTCTTCCACTCTTACCAGCATTTTCAGTCATTTCAGATTTTAAGGCTTCAAGCTTACTCATAGCAACAGAAAATGTTCCATCAGGCCAAGTGTTATTCGAAATAAGCGGACAACAGAGAGTCCCGAACATTTTACATACTCCCCCTATTTCTGCTAAAATCCAATGTAAAGCTTGCCTACTCTACCACGCCATGGCACTGGTTTCATGCAGTTGCTGACCTAATTGCTTAAGAACTTCAAATGTGTAGTCGACATATCTCTGTTGGTTGTAGAAGGTTGGTTGTGATCGCACAAGAATTACTCAACATTACAAAAACAATTCCTTAAAATGAGTCCTTCCCAGTAATTCCAAAGTACAACAACTTGACAGTATTCAAAAACAACTTCTTACAAGGAGTCCTTCCTATTGTGAAATTTGACATCTGGTCAACTGTTTCTAAGACCTTTTGCAACTGACATTATTTTTACATTTGATATAGAACAATACATTATCTGCCTCTACATCAGCTCTCACACATGGGAGTCCTACAGGAAGGAATCTGGTGGTCCAACATAGGGTTACAGTTGAAATAAAAAACATAAATTAATCAATGACAAAAGTAAGATATCAACACAGCTATCAGGGCATAGAGAGGAAGCAGTAGGAAGATGTTTGCCTGACCCTGAAAATGTCCAAAACAATGCAGAGTAAACACATTTGTGGGCTTTAATGTCACTACCAACATTGGTCACATCAGGACGGGTTCTCTCTGGTGTGAACACTTTGGTGGATTTTTAGGTCAAACCATTCGATAAAAGCTTTCTCACACTAGTCACAGCTGTATGGGTTCTCTCCTGCATGCCGGCATTGGTGGGTTCTCAAATGACTGCACCGGGCAAATAATCTTCCACATTGGTCACACCAGTACGGCTTCTCTCCTGTGTGAATACGTTGGTGGATTTTTAAGACCCCTGACTGTGCAAAGGCTTTGCCACATTGATCACAGCTGTACGGTTTCTCTCCTGTGTGAATGCGTTTGTGTTTTTTTAAGGCCCCTGACTGTGCAAAGGCTTTGCCACATTGATCACAGCTGTACGGTTTCTCTCTTGTGTGAATGCGTTTGTGTTTTTTTAAGGCCCCTGACTGTGCAAAGGCTTTGCCACATTGATCACAGCTGTATGGTTTCTCTCCTGTGTGAATGCGTTTGTGGTTTTTTAAGGCCCATGACTGTGCAAAGGCTTTGCCACACTGATCACAGCTGTATCGTTTCTCCCCTGTGTGAATATATTTATGATATATTAAGGGTCCCATTTGGGAAAACTTTTTCCCACATTGGTCGCACCCGTATGGTTTCTCTCCTGTGTGAATACGTTGGTGGGTTTTCAAGCTACTTGAATGTCGAAACGCTTTGCCACATTGATCACAGCTGTACGGTTTCTCTCCTGTGTGAATTCTTTGGTGAGTTTCAAGGGACGTGCGTTGCGAAAAAGTTTTCCCACACTGATCACAGTAGTGCAACTTCTCTGCAGTGTGAACACAGTGGTGACTTTTTAAGCTACGTAGAGTGGTGAAAGCTTTCTCACATTGATCACAGCTAAAGAGTTTCTCTGCTGTGTCAATGTCTTGTTTTTTTGACGTCCCTGACTCTGTGAAATCCTTCCCACTTTGGAAAAAACTGGACAGTTCCCCATCAATGTGAATGCGTTGATGGGCTTTGAGGGCACTGCAGCGCAAAAATGTTTTCTCACAGTGGTCGCAGCTGTATGGTTTCTCTCCAGTTTGAACTCTTTGATGAATTTTTAAAGATCCAGATGTTGTGAAGGATTTGTCACGGTGGTGATGTATAAGTTCCTCTCTTCCTCTCTGTTCCTATAGCAACAAACAGAAAAAGAGTTAATGAGTTGTCACGGTGCAGCGAGCCAACTAAAACCGTAAATAACATTTAAAGCATGTCTGCGAAACATAACCCACAATGTCTGACTAATTCATTACCACCAACAAATGTTATGATAAATAACGTACAGAATAGTTTTTATTTAGGTTTTGACTTTTTGATAGGAATTGATACCAATACTACTTATCAATGCGACTCTCACTGACACTTCTCTCCATAATTTAGTGGTTTAGTGGTTTTGGGTTGGACCTGAGATTCTTGACTTTTGCTCATGTCTCCCCCATGACTGTACAGGCTAACCGCCACACCAAAGTCTTTTCTCATTTTATTTAAATATTTATCAGCTACTTTTCATAACCCACATGAACCATTTGTCATAAATCAGGTCCACTGTGCAGCACTTATTCGAAAGACAATGTTACTCTTAAAGGACCAATAATCGGAAATTCGTCATTTCTCGATTGAAGGAATTAAAAAATTGTTATGTGAAGAACTAGAAGTGTAATTTCGTATAGCATGACGTCACACACATTCTCTTTGTGTTGATCTCCAGCCCCTTGTTTACAAGCCAGTCCGGCTGTGCGTTCATGTACGTTCATGTGAATCGCCTCCTTCCTCCTCTCAGAGCCCTTGGCCCTCCCTCCCTATAAAAGGCTACAGCCAGTGAGCAATGGCAGCGTGTATTTTCGAAGCGAAATGGCAGAGAGCGGAACAAAACGTCCACCTGAAGACAACCAGGATCCGACATTACCTCTAAAGAAACAACGGTTGTTGGCAAAGAAGTTGTCGGATAAAGAAAGGGACAGAACCTGGATTAACACTGGCCTTGCATTTCCAAGGTGGAGAGCACTGCGAGAGCTCAAGGGGCTACAATCTGACTCAGAGCTAGCTTTTCTTCTCCTGGACAGGTAGGCTAAGTAACAACAAAGTCAAATGTCTGTTTTAATTAGTGTTACAGTAACGTTAGGCACATGTCGCTATGTCAATACAATTAAATTTAATGTTACAATCGTAGCATGGGTTAATGTCCGGAGTTTGAGTTATTAGTGGCTCGGTCCCAGCAATGGGTCAGGCGTTACATTTGTGTTAGGTGAGTATTCCGGCAGCCCAGCTAACATTTGCAATTAGCATTGTAAAATGTAGCCAGACTAAACATTGCTCTCACTCACGGAGAAGAGTAGGAACATTAGCGGAGAGCAGAGGTAGAGGGAGGTGTGGCTCATGACACACTCTGTTTTGGTCTACAGGCAGTGCACAACAGCAAACCTAGCGGTGAAATGATTTCACTATTTGCCCCTTTAAAGCTGGTCCCCCTGTTGCTCCCATTATTTCCTTCTTCCAAAACAGTGGTGAAGAACACCAGCAGTTAATGTCAGGAGTTGAGTTTCCATTAAAACAAAATTATTATGACTGCTGTACCAAATTAATACGAGCACAGTAGGGCTGCCACGGTATGAGATTTTCATGGTACGATAACTATCTAAGAATATCATGCGTTTCAGGGTATCACAGAATTTATATTATCATTAGTGTGAATGATCCTGTTTTGATCTATTTTATACTTCAGATTTATATTGTTTGGCATTAATTGGTGACAGAAAAGAATGAATTTCATTCTGCAAGGAAACGCTTGTCCTTACTGTGCATATGACAATAAACACTTTGAATCTTGAATCTATATGTTTTATGAAGACCCTATGTGCGCTCAAAGCTGTGGCACAAGTTATGCACCAAAATCTGGCGGAAGAAAAAATAATAATAAGAAGAAAAATAAGTATGAGGAATAACAAGTGTGTTCCTGTATGTGCTGTGCACATCAGGCACACAAATAAAATGAATCATCATGATGATCATTTATCATAATTTGTCTGCACATATGCCACATCTGCATGCACATATGAGATCACGTACGTGCTGAACCGTGGAGAGGGATCCGCATGGATCACGGATCAACGATGATCCGTTGCACCACTAGTGGACAAAGTGAACAAAGGGACAAAGGGACAGAAGAAGGACGCCACTATCAACAAAATGCCCAGACCAATAATCATACAGTTCGCAATGCCAACTATTCGAGATGAGATATGGANACCGGTTGCAGCCTTAGTTAAATGGAAAACAACAAACATGGCACCACACCGGTATGGTAAGACAACACGTTTACATGTCGTTTTCTATATGTTCTCTGACATTTATCCTAACGATATGAGGTGGTCTTTGTGGAAAAAAGCTTGTTTAGTGGACTAACTTTGCACTTGAAAGGATGCCCATTCAATTACGTTTTAACAGGTTTGACGCTACAGCTGTATCTAGGCTAACGGCTAACATGCTAACTATTATTTCTATGTCACTAGTGACTTGAAACAAATTTAGGACGATAGGAGACGGGTTGAAATAAACCGAAATTTCCCTTTAACATCCTCAATTTCCATCACATTAGGAGCTCTCTAACAAGTGAAGCTGCCAAAATGTACCTGAATGCGATGATCCTTCCTTACATGAGTTATTGTCTGCCATGCTGGATGCAGGCCAACCAAACCACATTAAAGCCGTGTATGGACAGGCCCTAAAAATACTGGATTGGAAACCAAGACAGTACCACCACTGCAACATTCTTTCCAAATACAACCTATTAAGTTTTGATAATCTAATTACCTCCTCATATATTCGTTTAATTCATAAAATAATTCACAATGTTGCCCCCCCCCCCCATTGAAAAAAAATGTGATAGCCTGTTCGGAGCAGAGAACAAGGGCATTAAGATCTGCATCGAGAGGGGACTGCAAGGTTCCACAAAGAAACTCTGCTTTTGGTCAATCCTCCTTTCCTGTCAAGGCCATCAGAGAATGGAATAGGCTTCCCAGTGACATGAAAATTAATGCAAATCATAAAAGCTTCTTCCTTGTCACAAAAAAATGGCTCCTAAGTAATCAGTGTTGCCAACACTAGGTGGTGCTGTCTGATTTCCTGCCAGTGTTGTTTGTTTTTTGTTCTTTCGCTCTGTATACATTTAGAATGTTACTACTGTTCACTGTTACCTCGGTCCTGCTTTACTACAACTCTTCTGTAACTTCTAATTACCATTGCTGGTATTTGATTCTTCTCTGCAACTCCAAACTACCATAGTTGGTACTTAAAATGAAACTGTAAGATGTCAATATTGTCTCTTCACTGTAAACTTAATTTTTATTTATATTTATAATAGGCTAAACAGCACTTCATATAAGCACAATAGGTACATTTTACCTCATTGTATACTTAATACTTTTCATCAGCGCTATACTTTACTGTGTAAAAAAATAAGAAATTTCATAGGCATTGCACTGGCACTTTATGTAGGCAACATTGAATATTTATAATAGGCTAAACAGCACTTTATATGGGCACACTAGGTGCATTTTGCTCTGCACCTTACATTAGGAATAATTCTTTAGACTGTGTATGTATGTATGTATGTATGTATGTATGTATGTATGTATGTATGTATGTATGTATGTATGACACTGTGTGGTATGCTGTGCATATTGTGTGGTATCATATGCTGTATAGCATTATGTGCCATGCAATGTGCGGGGCATACATGTGCATGTCACGTGAGACTATATTTGTAAATGATGTGTCTGTATCTGATGTTGTGTGCTCCTTTTGTGTTAATTGTGGATTGTGTATTTTGTTGTGTTTCATGTTTTATGTTAGAGGACTACAGATGGAAATTAGCCTTTAGCTAAATCTGGTGCAAACATCTTTTTGTTTTGTAAACAACTAATGTACGTGCACGCTGTCCTTTTTATAAACTAAATAAACTAAACTAAACTAAACAATGCGACTCACTGATACTTCTCTCCATAATTTAGTGGTTTAGTGGTTTTGGGTTGGACCTGAGATTCTTGACTTGTGCTCATGTCTCCCCCAAGACTGTACAGGCTAACCACCACACCAAAGTCTCTTCTCATTTTCTTTAAATATTTGTCAATTACTTTTCATAACCCACATAAACCACTTAACGTTAACACTACATTTAATATTGATTAAAATGTGTCAAATGAAGTCAATTTGATTTGGTTCGGTCAGAGCTGTGGAATATTAAATCAGCCTTTCTGACCCTCAGGTGAACATTAACTACAAGTTATACACTTCTTTTAAAATACAAAAATGTGAATTTATCAGTTATCAGTATCGGTTAAGAAAAATCCCTATCGGTGCATCCCTAGTTTTTTCAATATCTCAGATAAGCAAACGTACATGCTATGACAACTGTCAACTTCCATATCACAGTATACCTTGAAACCGGTACATCGCTGCAACCGTACAGTACACATGGCCAAATTGCCACCTATGTCACCATATGACACATCTGTTTTTCTTTACATAAAGACATTTCCACCATAAACTGGTGCACAACACTTCAAAATGCAGTAAAATAAATGTTTGATGCTCAGAATATCCTGGGGGAGGACGGACACACAGACACACACACACACACACACACACACACTACATATGTGTCCCTGCCAGTGTTAAAATTACATCATGCTAATCACCCTGTACTGCCATCTCCATATTGTAATAGCGTGGTTTAAATTTCGACTCTCGGCTACTTTCAACAGCTCAGGCTCGTTGGAGATGAGTCAGGCCTGTGCAGATTCGATCACCAGTGATCGCAGCACAATGCATGCTGGTTAGATTTGTGTCCTGACTTGCTCGTCCGTCATACAAAAGGGATTTTCGAAGGGAGATCCGAGATGGCGGCGTAAACAGTATCACTTTGCAGGCTCCGGTAAAAACTGTCAGACAATGTCCTGAAAAATCGTTAACTTCCACAAAAAACCTATCAAGGTGTAGATATTCACACCAAAATTCACAAAGTTTGGGCTTGTTGAGATAAACGCCTTAATTGCTCCTCCGAATGTGAACAAGATGGCTAATGCTAACCGGGCTGCTAGCTGAGTGGGTACCGGACTTCCAGACCACGACTACAACCTGTTAGCTCTCAAGGAGGCATGTGATGATGAAGACATCGACACAATGGAGGAAGATTTTGCCAAAAGTCTGCACGAGCACACACTAGGCTTATGCCGGTTTGAAAATTTTCCAACCCGTTTGATTTAAAGCCAAATATCTAACCAAACCGATATATCGAATTATATACACCTAATTTTACAACTGGGGGTCGCATTTGAGATATTTTTCCCAATAAAAGCCCATTATAGGTGCAATGCGCTTCCAATCCACTAGGAGGCGGTAATGCTGTATTAACCACCAATACACACAAGGTTACACAAGAAGAACAGAGAAGCAGAAGGACACCAAGAAGTTACTAGGGTAACAAACTGAATGACTGCTGACTCCCTCGCACTTTTCCCTGCCCCAATGAAAGTTGATCTCTCGCAGCAGCAGCAGAGCAGAGCAGATTCCAGCAGACTGTGGCTGTGCTGCATTCCGGCTCCATCACAGCTCTGGCACTCCGGAGCCCTCTGCAACAAATACGCTGGACTTCGATTTTTGCCGGACGCCAGAGCACAACGCAGCAATTCAGCACAGAGCAGATCGTGTGGGGCAGTCGTGCACATAAACAAAATAAAACACCTATTTTTTTTTTCAAAATAAAATACACAAGTGTTCACGGTGGATCAGATTTCCCTGCACTACACCTTGAAAACTACATAATGGGCAGAGGCAGGCCTGAAGTCAACAGGTCAAAGGTTTTCAGACGTCATTTCACCCTGTTGACACCATGGACGAGGAGAAATTAATCATGGCGGTGCACCGAGATGTCTTCCGGCGGAGCTGCACCGCTCTGCACAGCAAATGCAGCTGGTGGGTATTGACGTACGGCGGAGCACGCAGCGGATAACGAGCGTTGCCGTTCCGCAAGGTGGAGTTCGACCCCGATGTGCACACACAGACCAACACACAAGATCGTGACCCAGGCCGCATTTTCCTGACCGACAGTTATAACCGAGCCCGGCCAGAACCCCTACTAAATACACAGTCTATGGAGCGGAGCCTGTGTTGCGTTCAGGCGTTGTCACATAAATAACAAATTCCATCACTTGAATAAGCAACACAGCAACATGTCAAGTGATACTGGAATTGGTTTACTGCGAAATGCAGTTTTTGCTGACAAGCAAAATAAAGAGATAATTTTGGGGAGAAAATTGTTCTCTTTAAGCACAAAACAGAAACGGGACCGGAACTGTGACCCAAAAACTGAGGTATGGACCGTACCGTTGGTTACCTGTACCGGTGCACCCCAACTATTACCCAGTCCCAATCCCAAAAAAAGAAATACAAAAGGAGATTTGATGATCAAAATGAACGACTCAAAGTCTTTGAAAGTCGGATGGAAGCCAATACTCAAGCCATAAAAGAAAATAAAGATGAAATCGGTAAAATGAAAGAAGAAATAATGTGCCTGAAAAAGGAAAACATCTCCTTGAGACAGGCATGTTTGGAGCATGCCAGATACAAAAGAAGATGGGACCTCAGGCTAATAGGTCATCCTGAAAAAGAAGAAGAAAACACAAGAGAGGTGGTGATTGGAATCCTTACCCGGGTGAATCCACTGTCAATGGATAAACTTGGTGAGACAGTGGACACAGTACATCGCTTGGGAAAGAAGAATGGCGCCACTACCAACAAAATGCCCAGACCAATAATCATACAGTTCGCAATGCCAACTATTCAAGATGAGATATGGAAAAAATCAAGAGAGGCGAGAGTCTGCAAAGAGATGAACATTCAGTTCAAGGAGGACTTTTCAAAGGAGGATAGTGAAGCCCCGGCTAAGCTGTGGCACAAGGTGCAAGAAGCCAGAAGAAATGGGAAAAGAGCCTTTCTCAAAGAAGGCTAAGCACTCATTGAGGGACACAGAATTGACCCATAACTGATATTTTCAGCAAGGTAATATTCAAGCACTTTGTCAAAATATACATGGTTTCATTACAAGTATATTTGATGAGAATTTAAACTGATAATACTTCATAAGACAAAATTTAAAGCCAGATAAGTTGGTATGGTTATGTTCTAAGGGCAACATATTTCATTCCTGCATTATAAGCAAGTTAAAGACATATCGAAAACAGTTACATTATAGATTATGTCTATTTCTTTTTTTATCTTTATTCAATGTGATTCATTTGTAGAAAAGTTTCATTTAAAATGCTCCGTCAGAGAGTTCAGTCCAATTTTTAAAGCCATTCCGCTTCCTTTGAAACACATGACACAAAGCACTCTTACATATTCACATGTGATTATTAAGTTGCCTGAAATAAAGATTGGTGAAGTGTATATTGGTGATAAGAAATGTAATAACAAAGTCATTGGTAATGTTTTGAAATGCAAATTGTTTTCTGATTTTCAAAAGTAAGAATAATCCATAACGGGAACATTTTAATTCACAAATGTTTCCATTATCTTAAATGGCCAATTTCACCAAAAGTAAAAGACGTTCAGTTTAGAATTGTAAACAATGTTTATCCAGCTGCTGAAACTTTACAACAAAGATTTCATTTTGAAGTAAATCCTTATGTGTATTTTGTTCAAAAGAACCCGAAACTATTAAGCATTTATTTTTCATCATGGGTAAATATCAATGCAAATGGAAAAACTGTAAACCCTCCATATTTTGCTTTAAAAATGAACTGAAGAATTATTTATCGTCCATTAAGATATAATCTAAAAATAATCAGTCCCTTAAAGACCTGTATGAAGTCATGTTTAAGTCTCTTACATTTTCATTTCATCCTTGCTGCTGTTCATTTTCTTTAAATCTCCAACGAGCCTATTGTTTATTCTGCGAGCTCTCGCGAGAACACGCGACGCACTGCGCGGGAAAATACCCTGCAACACAGACCGTCTCAAGTGTTTCATTACTCTGAGTGAGTTAAAGATGAAAACAAGAAACACGGAGATATAACAAACCTTTTTGCTTTGTTACATTTCCTTTCTCCAGATGTGATGTGAAACCAGAGAATGAGCGGATGATCCACGGAGCCTCGAGACTCTTCCACGTGTCTTTAGTGTGGCTGCTGTCAAGCCCTTTTTATCCATGACGTCATCAACACTCACCTCAACATCGCTGCTATCAGAGGACGAGCCTGCTGCTTGTCTTTTGGGGACCTTGTTGCTCCGGTGCTCCGGGTTCTGCTTGTCCTCCTCCATTCCGCTCCTCTACTGCTCCTCCTCTCTGGACTCTGATGTCCTGGGCTGAGTCTTAAGAAGCCACCCTGTTATAAGCCCCGCCCCTCTCAGTTACTGTTGCTAAGGAAGGAGATTTCCCCCCAGGAAGTAATGAGTTCTTTTCAAGTTGCTTGAATAGAAAAGTTGAATGGGGGATCTATAGAACTTTAGGGACTGTTCTTTATTTATCAGAGGAAGGGGTGACTGGGTGCAACTCTTTTTTTTTTTTTTACCCCTCCCTGAAGCTCCAAATATTTACTGGGGGAAAATCCACCAACCTCCCTCCACCATATAATAGATTTTTATAACTTAGCTTTTGATGTCTGAAAGTTAAAAGTTGAAGACAGAAACCTGGAATTGAAAAAAAGCCTCAGTTAATTAACAGTTCGTACAAACAGTTTATTCAATATCACTATTTCAAGCTCACATTTATTTATTTAAATGTTTTTACAGAAGCATTTGTCACACGTGATGCGTCCAATTAAAATCGGAAATTTGAAAATCTAACAATGATTTCTGTTTTTACAGTTTCTGGCTGATAAATGGTGTCATTTTGGTGAATACTGTGTTTTTTATTTTGTTTTGCTTTCACAAAACTTTGTTTTCTTTACTACACTATCACATTTTTTGGCATCCTGTACCATGTCATTTTTGGGCATACTACACTGTGACTTTTTGCCATATACTTTGACGTTTGTCTTACATATTATTTTATGATTATTTTTTTGCCATACTAAACTATCTCATTTATTTTGACGTACTATACTATGACCTATTTTTAGCATGCTTAACATTTTTGGCATACTAAGATTTTTTACCATATACATTGACTATGACTATGATTTTTATTTATTTTTATTTTTTTGCCACACTACACTGTCATTTTTTTCTTAGCATAATGCACTTTGACATTTTTGGCACACTATACAATGACTTTTTTTCCGCCATACTACACTGTGTGTTCTCACACACACACTCTTATACTAACTGATTAACATGCTCATATACTCCACATTTAATAATGACCTCATGTACACAGTCACCTATGATCCTTTCTATTAGGGATATACCATAATATTGTCACATCGTCAGTATTGACCGATATCTTTAAAATGAACTATCAGAATCAGCCAACATGCTTTTTCTTATTCTGCAAAATGAATGAGTATTACATTAAAGTACTGTGTTTTGTGTTGCCACCTGCTTGTGAATGAGCCTATAAGCGCTAATCTATCTAGGTATTCCTCCTCATTTCTGTGACAATCATATGGAGTGTATACATTTAAAATAATAAAAACATTCATATTATGTACGACTTTAATTGCTATACACCAGTCCACCTCAAGCCTGACAACAGTGATCAGTGGGTCATAGTTTTTGCGCCACAGAATGGCCACACCGCCGGGTATTCTGTCACGCACTATTTCCGTGCTTAGGTCCGTTCTGGACTCTCCTGCCCCATGAAAATCATTGTGGACAGAATTAAGTTTATCCAAGTCTTGTTTGGCTAATAAAGTCTCTTGTAAACAAAGAATGTCCGTGCTCTCCAGGATCTGGTCAATAACAACACGACACGCTCTGTCCCCAGCACTCTGTCCCAGGCGCAGGCCTCGCAAGTTATATGACACAACTCTGAAAGCCATGGCTTCTACATGGCATCGGACAACCCAGCCCTCAGTACAGGCACACTCCCTGCCGGTGTCAATCCCACCGGAGCCTTGGGTCTGCGCGCCTCATAGAAGCGCCGCACAAAGGCACCTTCAGGCCAGAGTGTTGGATCGTACATTTCAGCTACCTCCTTGCACTCAGTGGTTACTTTAAAAGGAGCTGAACAGGCTCTGTACAGTGTCTAACTTTTGACAGGTTACCTCACGGCCAAGTTTGTCTTTCAAGTAGCTGGCCAGAGTCTCGGGGTCTAAAATAGGCAAGCATTTTGGCGCAAAAACAATCACCAACTTTGTCTTTATAACTCGAATGCTCCCACCGGCACTAGTTCCAACAATGCTGCCTATCTTCTACTCCCTGGGGGGATTCAGAAGGGGTTTGTGCTTTGCCGTAGTATCTCCTGTGACATGTTTCAGCCGGTGGCCCACCTTGACTACACAGGACCAGGTTGGGGAGTTTGTCGTGTCACTCCACGTCGTGTGCAAGGCTCCCGTTGCTGCGTTGCTTGGCACATCCAGGCTCGAGGCTGAGCTCTCCAGCTCTCCAGGTCTCCTCACTGGCTTGTGAAGCGGGCGCTCTCCCTCCGCTTGTACCAGGCTGTTTAATAGCACCCAGCTGTAGGTTTATATCAGCGGTTACAATACGCAGATCGTTACAGACACTTGTCTGCATAGACAAAGCCTGTTTCATGGCGTGAATGTCTGCACCTAGATGCTCCATCTTCCCCAGAGGGCAAGAAACGTCAAGGCTATTGAAAGTCACAGGTGGTAATTCATCAAGGAAGTGAGAGACAAAGCGAGGAGCGTCCTCACCCACCTCATTGAGTAACTTGAGGCAACTCTTGATGTTTTTCGCATCTTTTTGCGCCCCCGTATCTGCTACAAGCTTACGAGTGGTGCTTGGGCAAAGTTCAAAAAGCACTTTGGTAGAGTTCACAATCCACTCTGACCCAAAGTGGTCAACAGCCACTGCAATGACATCATCCTGGCTCAGAGTTTTCATTTTAACAGCTAGGAAATTTAGAAGTTCATCTTCCGCAATAATTTTCCCCGTGTCTGTTCGGTAGATGTCTGGTTTTATCCGAGTTTTACTCACACCAGCAGCACCTCTGGCAGCACCGTCCGCCATCTTGCCTTGGCTTTCCTGAACACTGAGGAAAGCCAAGTGCTAAAGCACATTTTTACACACATGGATGTCATCTCCGCATGTCAAAGTAAGCGCATGCAGTCTTTCTATGAGCTGTTTTTTTTTTTTTTTAAATAATCATATCTTACAACAGTTAACGTAACCTCACTGAAACGATGTAACCTAACTAAACACAGCACAGACATTACAACTACATTACTAAGAGTACACTAATAAGATGTGAAGTGCTATGTGACTTTAATCCTACTCGAAAGAATAAATAAAAAATATAAAGGATGAGTTGGCTGATAACTGCCAACTGAAGAAGCAACCAAGCCACTGCATCATCGTGCCTTTCATACTCAAACAGAAATGTATACAAAAGCGTGTGCCAGATAATATACATAGAACAAATAAACACACACAGACGCAGCAGTGCCTAGATAGTGTGACATGTGTGGTTGTGCTGCTGCTGTGGTCCTGCCAGATGCCTTCTGCTGCTGCTGTTATCATTAGTCATGCTTCTACTGTTATTATACACATATGATTATTGTCACATATGTATACCATCAGATATTAATATATACTTTCAACATATTGTACCACAATAGCCAGAATTATACTTATATTATTACTTTCATTAATGTTGTTGTAAGCTACTGTCATTACCGTCTGTCCTGCATCTCTCTCTCTCTCTCTCTCTCTCTCTGTCTCATTGTGTCATACAGATTACTGTTAATTTATTATGTTGATCTGTTCTGTACGACATCTATTGCACGTCTGTCCGTCCTGGAAGAGGGATCCCTCCTCAGTTGCTCTTCCTGAGCTTTCTACCGTTTTTTTTCCCTGTTAAAGGGTTTTTTTGGGGGAGTTTTTCCTGATCAGCTGTGAGGGTCATAAGGACAGAGGGATGTCGTATGCTGTAAAGCCCTGTGAGGCAAATTGTGATTTGTGATATTGGGCTTCATTAATAAAATTGAAATTGAATTGACACTAATACTCACTGTATCACATGAACATAAAACAATGAATGCACGTTACTTATTGCTGATTATTTAAAAAAAAAAAAAAAAAAACAACTCATAGAAAGACTTACGTGTACCAATTTCTGTGTATGGTGTATTAGCACCCTTATGTGTACTAGCACCTTGTTGTGAACCAGCACTTTAATATGTGCCAGGACCTTAATATGTACCAGCATTTTAATATGTACCAGCACTCTAATGTGTACCAGCACCTTAACTCAACGTGAAGGCATGGCAAATTGCACAGCTCAGATGAGCAAATATCTTTTGCACATTGGTCCCTATCTGGTTACCAGTTGTATGTTTTGTGTTGTTTAAAGCAGTAGTACCCTGTCTCCAATCCAAATTTCTCCCAAGGGAGGGAGACAAATAAATGGACTTTGACTTTTGACTTTGACTGCGTGCTCTTACTTTGACATGCAGAGATGACGTCATCAGCTGGGTGATCACGTGCTATCCGAAAATGGGCAGAAAGTTTGTTTCAAAACTATGTGTGTGTAAAAAGCAAATCCACATGCGTAGAACTGAGAGCCACAAATGTTTTTTCGATTCACAAATAAAAACTGAGTTCACAAATGCCTGTTCAAAAGTTGTAAATGTTAGGAAGATATTCACAAATGCTTTTTATTTATTTGCAAATTAATTTAATGTATTCACATATATTTTTTTATTTGTGGAATGTGTTTGTGTATTTGCAGATCCGTTTTATATTTACAGATTACACATTTACACACAGATTGTCAATTGGTTCACGCACATAATTATGGAACAAATCTATCTCCATAGTACACTAACTGATTAACATGCTCATATACTCCACATTTAATAATGACCTCATGTACTCAGTCACTCACCTATAATCCTTTCTATTAGGGATATACCATAATATTGGCACATCATCAGTATTGACCGATATCTTTAAAATGAACTATCAGACTCAACCAACATGCTTTTTCTTATTCTGCACAATGAATGAATATTACATTAAAGTATTGTATTTTGTGTCTCCATCTGCTGCTAGGCCATCATGATAAGAGTATACATGTTTAATATGATGTTTATTCCACTACAGAAGAGACCTAATGATCCCCTAAAATAAGTGGGAAAAAAGTGGATATACTGATATTGGCAAAATAAGGTACACTGAACAAAAATATAAACGCAACAGTTTTGTTTTTGCTCCCATTTTTCATGAGCTGAACTCAAAGATCTAAAACATTTTCTATACACACAAAAGACACTCTGAAATGTGCAGTTTTGCTTTATTGGGGGTGGGTCTGGGGGGGTTAGAAAACCAGTCAGTATATGATGTGACCACCATTTGCCTCACGCAGTGCAACACATCTCCTTCGCATAGAGTTGATCAGGTTGTTGATTGTGGCCTGTGGAATGTTGGTCCACTCCTCTTCAGTGGCTGTGCAAAGTTGCTGGATATTGGCAGGAACTGGAACACGCTGTCGTATACGCAGATCCAGAACATCCCAAACATGCTCAATGGGTGACATGTCCGGTGAGTATGCTGGCCATGCAAGAACTGTGATGTTTTCAGCTTCCAGGAATTGTGTACAGATCCTTGCAACATGGGGCCGTGCATTATCATGCTGCAACATGAGGTCATGGTAGTGGATGAATGGCACAACAATGGGCCTCAG